TACATGCGTACACGGAGAAACTAAATCGTACTGTTATCAAGAATAATGTATAGGTTGTTATGTAATTATATAAAATAAGTAAAAATTATGTTATAAATGTTGTCTTACGGTAACATCATTTTTGTGTTATTTTTTTTGTTTTTTTATTTAGTTACTACTAATTCCTAAATTAAATGGTTTCGTTTATTTTTTTACAAAAATTAGATGTGTTACTGTTGAAAACGTCCAACTGGCAAGAACTGCGTGAAGAGTACTCGTTATATAGTCTACACATGCGAACAATAGGACTGAAAGAAGAGGTGTTGTTCTTAAACGTTTTTAGTTGAAAGGCCATCGGATGTCTAGGATTGGGTCTTGTATTTAAGGAAAGGAGAGAAACAAGAGAAGGGCAGTCAATATGAGAGTGTATAATTTTATGAAGTGTAAGTAGGTCTTGGTGCTTGCGACGGTTTGACAGAGAAGTTAACTGAAATTTTTTGAGTCTCTGCTCATAGTTATTGACCGTGCGTCACTAACTATGAGCAGACTACGTACTTTAACGCCTTGCGTTGGACACGCTCAATATTATTATCATGTAATTGATAGTGCGGTGGCCAAATTACTGCACCATACTCAAGAACTGTTCTGACCAGCGATTTGTAGATATAGATGAAACTATTACTGAACTTAAAATTCTTACTTGAGCGTATTACAAAACCTAGCATTCTGAGTGCTTTATTAATTATATAGCCAAAATGTTCACGAAAAGACAGCTTATCATCAAATATAATACCTAGATCTTTTACAGAGCTTTTGAGAGGTATATCGTTTATTTTGTAATTGTAGGTGGCTTTTACTTTTTTATTACTGAAACTTATCGATACACATTTATCAACATTTAAGTACATCAGATTATCATCACACCATTTGATAATACCATTAATCTCATTCTGAAGAGCAGAAAAATCAGAGGTACTGTAAATGGTACGGAAGATTTTACAATATATAGACACATTTTTTTTTTATTATTTCATACGATAATTCTAACATATACTTGTAGAACTAATGGATATTACATATTGTATGTTCACATGCTATTAAACATAGGGGCATTAAATAAATTAAACGTCGATTTTACATTGAAAACAATTTACGACACGGCCGGGACTTGAACCGGCAACCACAGCGTTCCGTGTTATTGCTCTGACCAATTTAACTACCGTGTCAGGTGAAATGTCAAAGATAATATTTTCGAAGCATATTTCTTTGTTAAACAATTAAACATAAGTGTAGTATATAACAGTTTGAAAGTAAAGTCAAGTAATGTGTTAGTTATATTAAGAGAGTTGTATAACTCAACGTCCTCTGCAAGGAGGAAATAAGGAAAATTTATTTCCTAATATTATACTTTTGAGATAGTCTATACTAATATATAAAGCTGAAGAGTTTGTTGGTTTGTTTGAACACGCTTATCTCAGGAACTATCGGTTTGAGTTAAAAACATATTTTTGTGTTGGTTAGAGCGTCTATCGAGGAAGGCTATATGTGAAGTATGTATATGATGTGATGTGACTAATGTGAAAAAAACGGGGAAAATTTTTCATCATTATGGGTCTCCGAAGCGTACGCTGCGAGAACGATTCAAGATGCCCAAAAAATACGTATAAAGAAATGATTCCTCTTTAAATTATCTGAAAAAAATCCGCGACGCTATATATCTATATTTCAAGATTCACTTTCAAGAACGACAGGAAGGGACGCGATTGACGCCGTGGGTAGCAGTTAAGGTTTATAAAGATGCATAAACCGAATTTGAATGCCGAATTCTCGCGGACGTACTCGCTAACACGGCTAGGATTCAGTGATAATGTACGCGCGTTTGTCCGTAGCTACATAAGTAATAATATTGGGTTTATACTATAACTTCAAAATATATCTCGTGCCAATATAAATTACATACTAATTATTATTTGATATGAACTCTCTCGTATTGTGCTATATTTATCAATGTACAAATACAAATTTATTGTGTTTGCGACAGCGCATCCGAAATTAGTATAATTGGGTAGACGAACGTTCGAAGTGTATTGTATCGAGTGTCAATACATCAAAGCAATATATAATTATTTATGCACCGAACAATATGTCCACATATAGATTCGACTTTGCAATTAATTTGCGCGAAGACTAAGACTGAAATTCCGAGAGATTAGATGAATCAGTGTTGCCAGAATTCCCGAGATTTTCATCGCAATTAAATTGTACGCTTGGTACGATAGTTCGGTTTCCCACTAGCGTAGCAGGTTTTTACGTGACTCCAGAGACACGACAGAGCCGTGGTCACGTGGTCAGGGGAAGACTAAAGATGGAGGGTCCATCTTTAATCTCTCCTCCTTTGCTCCTGCAAACTATCTGAAACGTCGGCCGTACTTTATATCATTTTTAACAAGTTTAACTATATATCAAGTTTTAATCCGTTAAAGTGTTTTATTTTAATGTGAACTACTTGCGTAAACTACTGACGGTATGTCACAATTCTTAAACGGTTTTTATTTAGCTCGACCTGTACAGAATTTATTTATTTGGATCAAAATTAGAAATTGAAATTTAAGCACCTTCCCGTTGCCAGATTGATCTTAAATTTTGTAAACACATTCTATTTAGATGACAATACAATATAATAAAATCAATAACATTATTAATCTAAGATGGCCGCCGATACAAAATGGCGGATTACATATTTTTTTCCTTACCCCTCTCCATAGGGGTATCAAAAGAAAGGGCTACACTAGTACAACACGATGATTATGTCATAATTTGTCACAAACAATAAAACCGTTTAACTTAAAAGTTTTTTTAAGTTGATACTTGTTTTTAAACTTTTTGATTTTTACTCAACTATAGCTATTTCTGTCGAATACTAAGGAAAAAAGACAGACATTTTAGTCTTTCATAAAATCATAATACCGACTGTGTATTCTTATAAATAAATTAAGATTTGAGAGATAATTGTAAAATAAGAATAAAAAATATGTTCAAACTAGATACTTAGCCTAAAACACGTTTAGAGGGATAAATGACAGAGGTACAAAAGAAAGATGTCGTAGGTTACATATGTATTTTAAATCAATATTGTATATGAGTGTAGTGAGTCACAAGAAAAATTAAGTTTTATTTAAGAATGTGTCGGCATCAAAAAAAAAACGTATATTTCTTCAATGTCAAACAGACAGAACTGAGTTGTTTTTTCATTTTCTTTCTACTGAACAACGACCAATTACCCTTTGTGTTCGAAGGTTAGAAAACTGATGTACGTTAAAATGTTAGATCAATCGCAGATTTTAAATACCTTAAAATAGTCTATTACGCTCTTGTACAATCAATATGCTCTTATGGTATAACGTCGGGGGGGTGCAAATAAAACATTAACGATAAGACTGGAGAGAGCGCAACGTGCCGTCCTTAAAACTCTTTTACACAAACCGATACGCTATCCCACAAAAGACCTATACAAAGAATGTGAAGTTCTCACAGTCCGGCAACTCTTTATCCTAAAAACTATATTAAAAAAACATTCTGGGCTCACGTTTGACCAAATTATCGTAAATTCCAATCGCAGCTTTCATCCAGTCTGTCGCTCTCTCCGTCACAAGTCAGCAATTGCTTCCCGACACTTCTCATTTATGTCCTCTTGGTTGTATAATACAATTAATTCTATATTGAATATCTATCCATTGACACTAACTAAATGTAAGAAAAAAGCTACAAAATGGCTTCTGTCACAATCTTATGAACAAACCGAAAGTCTCTTGAGGGTCTACCAATAAGTATTTCTATGAAATACTCACACACGCACACGCACACACACACGCACACACACACACACACACAACACTCGCTCAAAAATAATATCCTTTTAAGCAAACAGATTGTTTTACACTAACTTCCTTTAATTGTACCAAATAGTAATTTAGAAGAATGTCAATAGTAATTAGTTTAACTTATCTTATCATACGGAGGCGGGCGCTGGCTCCTGTGCCACAGCTTTACAGCTACTTCAAGCGCCATCGAAATACTCAATTTGTAAATAGGTTTTAAGCTAAGCTAAATAAAGTTATTAAAGCTAAATAAAGTTATTACCCTGCACGCGCACTTATGAATAGATTCGTCAAAGAATAACAAAGTTTACTAATTGAAGCTTAATATTCAATATCAAACCTGGCTTACATATGTTTTGCCATTTAATATCTCTAAAACTGTGTATATAATTATTTGAATAAAACAAACAAGGTTTTTACACACACGCACCCATTTTAAAGTTCTATATTTAAAACACGTTCAATAAGTTTCCGTATAGTTCCAATGTCTATAGGTTGGCATATCTTTCAGGCTGTATGTAATGTTCTATAGCTATCTTTTTTAGTTTTATTATTTTCTGCATATATTAGAAAGGGTCAGATACACTTCTGCGCATACAATTTTATAGATTTCTCCCTTTGTGGAATGGGTTATTTTGTGAAAAATCGCCCAAGTAAAATGAGAAAGAAATAAATTCAATTTTTGTTGCTTATGTTGATTAGGTAGTTTACTAATCATAAGCTCAAATATATAAAATATATATTAAAATACAAAACTTAAAATATATATAAGATAAGATTTCTTTAATTATACGTATTTCTCACTGTGAAGCGTTATTTTAAAATGTCCATCTTACATTGTTTTCAGTGATTTAGACATTTTCGATTTGTATTAGAATGTTTGGTAGCCTAAAAAAATAAATAGAAATAAATATGATTCTAGGCTTATAGCAGTCTTGTAAGCATAATCGAATACAGCCCAAGTACAGGGGGTGCAAAGGTGGTGCATAAGTAGGCGGTACCTGCACCGTTTATTGGATCAAAGCAGGATCAAAATCCCACCCTACCCTGCCCTTACACCCCCCTGTCAGCTTGACACTAGCGGGACGCGGCACTCACCCGCAAACGCCAGAAAGGCTCCGCGGTAGTCAGAGCTCACGCACCATGTCTCACGAAACCCACTTAGACATGCCCGACGTGGACCCGCAAGTTCAGGAAGACCACGACGCGCACTCCTCTACGCTGACATACCTATTCGTTAACACTCTTTGCGTCTTCATCGTCATTATCTACCCCGGGATCGTCGTCGCTTTCGTGAGCGCGGTCGTACACGTGGGCGCATTCTTAGTCGACGTATCAACATGTTGCTTCCACAAGGCGGTCGGCTTCCTCCATAGCCTGTTTTAAACACATAATATTTTTGGTACGAAGTGCAAAGTATTTTTGGAAATGTACTTTTAACGGTTTGATAGAAAAGTTTAAGATGGACATTATAAAAATGTATATTTATCTAGAGAGTGTATTTTCAATGTTGTTGTGATGAAATCACGTTAAAAAGAAACTTTATCAAGTTAACTTCTAAATAGTTTAAGATGAATCCGACACCTGCACACACCATGGAAAAAAAAAGCGGTGAGTGACATTTTTCTATTTTTTTTCGCATGACATAGAGCGAGCGTAATTTTAAAAAATACGGACACACTTTTTTTTTAAGTTTATTTAAGTTTTCTTAAGAATAACATTTTAAATTAAAAATCTATTTAGCTCACAATTGTATAATACTGACGGGACTTAAACCGGCATGTTCTGTTCGTGCGCTGATCCGAACCCGTTATACCATTTCATTCATCTTGTCATTTTTAATTTATATAAAGCATTCATGTAAAAATACAGTCTTTAAGACATTTTATTTCCGCAAAATTAAATTTTGCTTAAGCTTAATTAATATAATTAATCTATATAGATAGATATTATATGCGAGTATGTACGGTTTGAAAATTTAATACATTTTAAAGACTGATCTAGTATAAATACAAAGAATATATAACATTACACTAACATATAATTGTTTTCGATCTCAGCTGTTAAACTTCATTATTTACATTAGTTTAAGTAGTATTTGCTAAAAAACTGAAAAAGACCGTTTTAATTATAAAAATTGCGAAACTTTGATTTCTTAATGTGCAAAGCGATGAAATCATTTGTATAGATTTTATAACAATGGACAAGAACTGCTGAACGCAAATAAACTACTAAATGTTAATCTTCGTCGCAGCTTTGTTAATTATAAGTAAAACGTTTTCCATTGACTTCAGTGAGTTTTAATTTGAACAGGTGTTTAAGATTTTATTCGAACTGCTACGAGCGAACTTACAAAAAGGTACTCGAGTTTATTATCTACATAGTAGATGCGATGTTTGCTTACGTCACAAATTTTTACAGCACAAATATATATTAGCTGAATACTGTCTTGGTTTACGCGAGTAGTACACATTTATATAAAACACTATAATGGTGTAAAACCCATATATATTAATAATATATATAACGTTTTAAACCGTTAAAGTGTTTTTTTTAATACCTATTAGCTTACAATACTAATTTTCAATGTCTGTCTAGATTATAATCGCGCATTTTCTCGTTCTTATATCAATACTGGCTACTTACATTATAGTGCTGAATTTTTTTGTAATCAGACTTTGCGTTAGCCGTAATCATTTTAGACACCTTTGCGTAACGATAGGAAATACGTACAACCATGGAAATTATTATACAGTACAAGTAATTAATTTAATAACAAAAAGCCACTTCTCTTTTCAGATTATACCATTCATATTTTACTCTTGACGCTGTATATCCTGCATTCAACAAGTTTACGCGAGTAACACATTTAACAGTTTAACATGCGATATATAATAGATTACTTATTTACAGCTGTATCAGCGATTTGGTCCGTGTACAATACTTATTTTGGGCATTCAAATCCTCTACTTTGTAAATTTAAGCTATTACCCACAACGTCGGCTGCGTCGGCGCCGTTCTTGCAAGTTAATCTTAAAAGATAGATATATAGTGTTGCGGCCATTGTTTAGAGTATTTAAAGAGTAATCATCGATTCATACATACTTTTTTGGGTTTCATGAACCCGTTTTCGTAGCGTACGTATCGGAAACTCATAGAGATTATTAATTTTCCACATTTCCCCCTGTTCCTTCGCTCCTATTAGCCACAGCGCGATGTTTTATAACCTACAACCTTCCTCAATAAATGATCTAACCGACTCAAAAATAATTCAATTCGAATCAGTAGTTCTGAGATTAATGCGTTCAAACAAACTCTTCAGCTCTAAATATTAGTATAGAATTATTAACGAAATAATCAAAAAGCATTTGTGTCGGTTCTCATGAAGTGACCAGATTTATGTGCCATTCCCGACCCGAAATACTCAATTATATTTGTCCACGATTCGAATTCAAAAATATCAGCTGCCGAATGCTTTTACTATGATTCGGTAAGCATCCGGAAAAGCTCTGTTTGCAAACACTTGTTGCTCCAAAACCTGTGGATCTCAAAAAACATTTGTAACATGATTCACAACAATATTCAACATTTATTTTGTAGTTGTTTGTAGTATTTATTTTTAGGTTTGTAGAAATCTTAATATTGCTAAGTATTTAAGTCTGATATCATAGAAATTCGATTGACAATATTAAAATTAGAATCTTATCTTAAGATTAATTTAATCTATACTTTTACAATTAAAACACAACAAAAATACCACGAAGATGTGATTTAAAAAGATTCTTGCACTTTTACCACATCGAACTATGTTTCGATGCTCCAGTTGACCACTGCCAATTTTGAAGGAAATGTCGGAAGTATTCAAAGTTTAAATTCTCACACGTAACGGACATTGGCGAAATTTTCGTAGACCCGCGAAATCGCTCATAACAAACAAGTGATGATCTATAAATAATTATCGCTTGTAAAACTTGGGATTATTAAGAGATCAGATCGATTATCAAAAATCGAATCGATTATTAAAAGATCGCTCCAAAAACGTTTTGTCCGTCAGATAAATATTGCGTTTCGATGGAAAACGTAATAATGGCTCACACTCTCAATAAAGGCTTCGCTGTTTATATTATTGGTCGAATGAACAAGCGTTTCCTTGATTCGCACAAGATTAAATCGATTATTGCTTTCAACTCATGATGTTTTAAAATCCATATTGAAAATTATAAAAATCTGTCTTAGGTTATTAAATCCACTAGACTATCTAATAAAAATAACTTTTACGAAAACGTATTATTATTGTTTTTATGTAAAGTAAAGTGCGTAGATATTTATACAATTAATGTTCAACTTAACCACAAATTCTGCTAGCGTCCACGTCTCGGTACAAAAGACATAAACGCGTTCAAGTGTCCGTTCCGCAAATTCTTAAGATAATCTGAATGTGGCTTCTTTTCTTAAAGTAAAGCTTACTTGACAATCATTTATGAAAACTACAATACCCGTGACCACGGCTGCTGCAAAGCATCTGAAACGTCGGGCCGAAGTTAAAAATCATTTTCAAATTATAATTTATGAAAGATGTAGAATGAAAATGTTTTAAGCGCAATTAATACAAATTGATTTTCATTATAAACCTATGCGGTCTTGTAAATTTAATATAGAGCAATCAAATTTATTATAGGATTATCAGATTTTACTCAGCTATTTGTATATAGATAATATTTATATAAATATATAGAAATATTAACACAATCATATTTGCAGCTAGTTGTGTCAGGGACTTCGTCGGCGTAGAACAGTTATTTTTGGGCATCCAAATTTGTTTTTGCAAACCTCTTCATCTTTATAAATTAAAGCTGTTACCAACGATATCGGTCGCGTCCCATCGCTCGCGTCCCGTCGTTCGGGTCCCGACGTTCCTGCAAGTTCATCATAAAAGATAGATATATACTCTCGCAGACATTTTTTACATAATTTAAAGTAGTATCATTCTTTCATACATATTTTTTAGGTAACTCAAACCGTTTTCACAGCGCACGCAACGAAAACCGTTAAAGATGAATAATTTTCCTCGTTTTTTCTACATTTTCCGCTGTTTCTTCGCTCCTATTTACCACAGCGCGACGTTTTATAGGCAAAGTTTTTTTTTTACTAGACAGCTTTCTATGTGCAAGTTCTAAATTAAACCTTTGATAAGTTACCTCTTTGGTCGCCATGTTGCTTAAAAGAAAATCGTTCATTTAAGCAACTGGAAAAATTTTAAATTACACGACAATTATCATTTGAGATAGTATTTTTTTTGGGCTTGCTACACATGACAAATATGGATGTTCGTACAACTTATGTTATGTCGCTACTCAAAAAATGTTAAAATACTCAAATTTTCAAACACCTTTGAGAAATTACATTTAACTGTCACAAAGGCACTTTTATTTACTATAAGTCATGTTACAAGTTTTAAAACTTTCCACCTCACCTTCGAAACCGTTTCTTAGATATAAATAAAAGTCGAGTGTAATAGGACTATTGTGTGAAGAAACTTATTAAAAATAACTTGTCAATAACAACTTACAAAGATTTCACGACAATGGGCTTCGAGCAAGCTTTCGTTAAGTTGCTTATATGGCGTTACTTCTTAGAATATCGCGAGTAGTACACATTGAAATAAAACACTTTAACAGTTTATAAAACGATATATATTAGTTAAGCTTATTCGAAAATTATTTTTAATTATTCCCGTAACCCGGCTGCTGCAAAGCATCCGAAACGTCGGGCCGAAGTTAAGATAATTTTCAAATAAGTTTAACTAATATAATATATATCGCTTTTTAATTCTATGTATTCATTTAATTTTAAATATAATAATAATTTATTTTTTAAAATAATATGTTTAATGTTTTAAAACGTGAAACATATTAGCTAACTAATTAAACATGCAGGTATTTCAATTACGGACTAGCGTTTTGGAACCTTTGCAGTTACGCTCACGAACCGTATTCTATTCGTGTAGAGTACAGACAATACATGAAATAAATTTATTTAAAAGTGAATACCTACTTTTAAAAGAACAACTGGGAAACTAGTTTTAAGCTATGCCTTCCTTTTTTATTAACTTTTTACTACTAATTCTAGAATTTAGTCATTCAGATTTTCTCCTGAAATAAATAACTGTAAATAGCTTTGTAATCAGTATAAATAATACTTACTATACTATATACTTCTTTGCAGCTACTTCAGGCGCCAATGAAAAACTTAATTTGAATTTTAAACTTACGGGGAGACTCCCCGTGACCACGGCTGCTGCAAAGCATCCGAAACGTCGGGCCGAAGTTAAAAATCATTTTCAAATAAGTTTAACTAATATATCGCGTTTTAAACCGTTAAAGTGTTTTATTTAAATGTGTACTACTCGCGTAAACTATAGACAGTATACAATCCGACATTTCGGATGCAGTGCAACAGCCATGGTTACATTATAACTGGGCTTTAGATGTGTAATGTCAAATTAGGTAATTTAATTATTCTGAACAAGTGGCGGAGCGAACCCGCGGTACAGGAATGCTCTTGTTAAAACGGAATCTTAAATTATGTAGATGTAATTAACTTGGACGCAAACGCGACTATCGATACCGGATGAGACTATTTACTACAACCTGACTTTTGATCTTGACTGTACCGTTAACCGGCCTAATTTATTAAAGGCCCGCAAATAGAGGACCATCAACGACCGTAATAACATCAAAGTGATGCGTTTCGCGTGATGCACTAAAGCCTATCAACCAAAGGTGAGTTTAAGTACAACACTTAACGTTTTAAAACGCGAAATATATTAGATAACTAGCTGTGTCAGCGACTTTGTCCGCGTAGTAAGTTATTTTGGGATATTCAGATTTGTCTTCATATATCTTTTATAACTTTAAGCTGTTACCTACGCGTCGTTCTTGCAAGTTAATCTTTAAAGATAGACATTCTTTCATACATATTTTGAATGTATAAAACCGTTTTCGTTGCGTACATGGACACCCACAGAGATGGATAATTTCCCCCGTTTTTACTTCTGAGACCTAGCGCCTTCAAACAAACAAACTCTTCAGCTTTATATGTTAGTATAGATTTATTTTCAATCCATCTTAACTACTTTTTGGACGTTTAGATTACGGAGAGACGCGTATCAAACCGTTGATAGTGTTTTATTTAAATGTACTTCTCGCGTAAGCTACAGGTAATACATAAGTGCTAAAATGTTCATAGTGTTGTCTCGAAAGACACAAATAATAAAATAGTTTATTAATATTAGGAATATCGTTTGGTTTACGCCCGCTACGTGCTTTTTAGAAGCAGGTTTGGATTAAAACAATCTAAATATTTTAGTTACACGAAGCTTAGACCAAAAACAAGACAATCAATTTGAACTTTAATATAATTCACACGTTATTCCACGTGATGGCATTATATAAATTAAAATTATATTATACTAGCTGTGCCCGCGACTTCGTCCGCGTGGAACAGTGACTTGGGGTAGAAGTTTTATATATTTAGGCTGTTTATTAATTTATGTAAGGGCGCATATAAGGCAGCCAATCAATGGTAAGTGCTACTTTGCCGCAACACTCTCACCTCACATCACTCCTACTCTAACTCCCACTCTCATTCCTACACTCACTCTCACTCCCACTCCCACTCCCACTCGCACTCCCACTCCCACTCCTATTCCCAAAAAGCCAAAGAAGACAATTTCATTGTTCTAGCTTCAAAACCCACAAATTTCCATAAAATCTTTCATCCCCCTTTTCAACCCCTATCAACACTTTTTTGGCATTAAAAATGACATATGTCTTTTCTCAGGCTCTAAAATATCTGTGTACCGAATTTCATTTAAATCAGTTCAGCAGTTTCGGAGTTAAAGCCGGTCAGACAGACACAGTTACTTTCGTATAGATTTATTTAAATAAAAATTTATTAATGGTATGGACAACACGGTTTAATTTTGTTCGGCATTTCTATCAATTTGTTAAATGTAAAAAAGTAGCTATAGTGACGTAACTACAATAGTGAGACATAATATTATGGTCTCGCGATGTTTATTGTATATATTTATATATTCTATAATATTGTCGAACTTTTTTTCGTCCTATCAATAATACTCTTCGCAGCGTATGCGATGAAAGACATATTATGGCTAATTTTTTACACCTCATCTTCGCTCCTATTAGTCACATCGCAATGTGTTATAGCCTATAACCTTCCTCGATAGATGCTCTAACCAACACAAATTTATAATTTTTCAATTTGAACTCGAAGTTCCTGAGATTAGCGCGTTCAAACAAACAAACTCTTCAGCTTTATATATTAGTATAGATTTACATTTTTTTAAATTAAACACAGGCGGGATTTGAACCGACGATCCACGAGATTACGTGCTGCTGTTTTAACTTAAAATATTAATGAGTTGAAGAAATTCGACGAAACTGTGGTGTGTGTGCCGGTTCAAATTCCGTCCTTTCCGACCAAAATCTCTTATTTCATGTATACAAAAATACAATAAAATAGTTAATTAAATAGATGCATATGGAGAGACACCACTCAGATAGAAAATAATGTTAAAAAAAAACATTCTTATTTTTCCCATATATAGATTATACATTAATAATACACGCGATTTTAAACGCTTTATTATAAGTTTGAAATTTATAATCGTAGTTGAAGTCTACTGAAACCGCACAACACATTCTCGTAACATTATTGTTTATACTTTTCACGAACAAACAATAGCTTTAAGAATTTTTCTCTTAACCGCCATTCCTAGAAATCTTCTACAAGCTCTATGCCATGTATATATGAAACATGTAATAAAAGCCATCTCGACAGTCTTGTAGCTAATTAAGTAAGAACGGTGAAGTGCAAAGCTTGTATTTTAGAGAAATAGTATGACGTCGTTATTTATTGACGATATCGAAGACAAGTTAGTTAAATTGTTTTAGTAGTATTGTGAGTTTTATTGATTTACCAAAAGGAAATATAGTATACAAATATAGATACACAAGTAGCTAAGTAACAGCTATGAAGAATAAATAAGTCAAATTTAACGGTATTTTATATAGTAGTATAATATATAATACTTATTCCCTGACTGTAGCTTACGCAAATAGTATACAAATAAATAAAACACTTTAACGGTTTAAACCGAGAAAAATATATAAAGTAAACTTATTCACAAAGTATGCTGTATGCCCGCGACCACGGTTGCTGCAAAACATTCAAAACGTCGGTCCGTAGTATTAATATATTTACCGTTTTAAACCGTTATTGTGTTTTATAGAACTACAAAAACCGACTTTGTCACACCAACAAGGAAGGAACAGCCGAAGTATTCAATCAAACAATATACCATTTAAGATCAGTGAATAAACTTTTATTCATGTTATTTTAACCGACTTGAAAAGGGAGGGTTCTCAATTCGATTTGTTTATAATAAGTTATGCTTTTTATGTTAGTTTCGTACATAATTTCGTCTTTGATTACTCGATTTTAGTTTATTATTTGAAGGTTGTTATTTTTATTAAGAAATATTTCTAATTAGTTGTAGTGTATTATATTGACCAATATAATATGATAATATTATTACGTTGATACTTTCGTACGTCTAATACTAGTTAGAGTGTTAGAAATGTCATACATTGGTCATATTTTCTTTAAAGGTATTTTTTTGGATCTCGTTTGTTACTTAGTACTTAGAGACATATCGTGTTGTAGGATAGTCCATACATCTTCGTAATGGCATAACGTAGACCGACGTGGGTGAACATCACGCACCACTTTTAAAGTCTATATACGTAACGTTACGTAACGACGTTACGGTAAAGTTACGACTTCAAGATACGTATTGGTTGGACATACTACACCTGGTTTAGGAAAATGGAAGCTATATCGTCCGGAAGAGTGGCTCAGTAATACAATTATATTTTACCGGACATAGGTACATTTTCACCAGTGTAAAAAATTATACTACCTATCGTCGAGAGTATGAGTGGTTTCATTTACGTTACCACATCACAAAGTGGATGGGCTTTTAAAATTTTAATCCATTTATTTCATTAATTTCCGAATTTCCGTTAAACCTATGGGATAGTACTTTCGCGTACGTAGTACAAAGGATGTTAATACCTCTTTTACACATATTTCTGTTAATAACCGTGTTGATCTATCGTGGCGTCTTGTTAGCCTGGGAATTTCGGTAAGAGAAAACGCGTTATACATAAATATAAACCAACCTTACCTTATCTTCGAGTTTTGTATATTTAAAGCGTACTAAACCTCCTTCTTATGATTTTGAGTACAGACAATTACGGGGTTAACAGAAGGTGGAATAACTCATTTCCTCTTAATTCATTGACATTCATACAACATTTACACAAGATGCGTTGACCTATCGTGGCTTTGGATATTGGGAAATCCCCTTACTGAAACTGAAATGCGAATTACTTCACGGCTTTTTTATTGCTCTACGATTGTTGGTGACTTGCACGGAATTTCAATATTCCCTACCACCATTGAAGATTCCATTTTCAGACGAAATCCAACATATTTCAGATAATTATAAGTACGGACGCAGTGGGCGTTGAACTCACGACCGGTTGATATTTAGTCATACATTACTACTATTAGACTTACCACCCTAAAAATAATAAAAATGGCTGCACTGTGTCCAGCCATTTTTGTTTCTAAGTAGTGACACTTGGATTCATGTTATGCTTATGTGTAACATGCTCTTCCTTTGTTTCAGATTCCAGTTCTGGGAGTCCACCAACAAGCAGCCTACCGCTGCGCTGCGTAAAGTCATTCGCAAAAACAACCGATTTAAAGTCGTCTGCGAATACCTTACAAAGCAACTACGCATCGTCGTTAGCTAGCAGCTTCCACCAAATCGATTACGGCTCTATTGCTAGTAGTTCACGCTACACCGATTTCAGCTCTTACACCAGCTTGCAGCGCACCAAGTACGCGTCGACCGACAGCATCTCACACCGGGTCACCACCAGCTTACCGCTAGACTTTGACACATACAGCTTACAGACAACTAGTCCAAAACCGACTAGTCTTCGAGCTATTGATAGTGAGATAGATGAGATTATTCAATTGTTCCAACCGAATCGGCTTCGGGTCCGATCGACTCCGAACAGTCCCTGTATATCCTACTTCGAGTCGGTCTCCAGCGTATCTGACTTATCAACACCTTTGGTAAGTCCTCTGGGCTTAGACGTGGTCAGTCCGAGCCAGCTGGGTGAAGAACAGCGGAACGCCCTGAGCCCAATAACGGCGGATCAGGGGCCGATCACCCCACCATCACCTTTTAAGAGTGATGAACTATTCCCATTAACTTACAGACGTCGTGGGCCCTGGTTAAATGACCCGGGGCCAGATGTAGCGAAGGACGTGAAACTCTTTAATTACAACGATTTGAACAATATAGACCGCGCGTATGAGTGCCGTTTGATCTCGAGGGGGGAGTACTCGTGTTTGTGCAAGCAACGGCACCATATGATATATGAGGCGTTGTACTGCAGTGGAGGTCTTGGGCGTTACCCGAGCGATACACGCTTCGTCGTCCTCTCGATGTCACCAGAGCAATGGCTATCTAAGAATGGGGATGGTCTTTCCTTGACGAACTCGGATTCAGAATAATTGCCAGTCAACGTAACTTTATATGTAGGATTAAGAGTTTCAACTTTGTACATACTACAATCTGCGCGCTACTAATTTCTTGTAAATATGAACTCGGTGGTAGAGGGAGAGAGGAAGATCATTATCGAGTTCTGTCATCTGTTGGAGAAGTCGAAAGTTCTATTCAATGGGTTAAGGTAAGAAAAAAGTTATGTTTTAATATTTATAAGATTGTATGTGTTGTTGTATGTAGATTTATATTATATTTTTGTACGCGAAATTATAACGTACTTAGTTTCAACTGTTGAAATTGACTATTCTAAAGACTCTATGACGTCTTCCAGAGAACTACCACAGTATGGCCACAAGCAATGGCAATCTTATTTCGGGCGTACTTTTGATGTTTATACGAAGCTATGGAAATTTCAACAGCAACATAGAGACATCTTGGATAGCAAATACGGCCTCAAGAGGTGGCAAATAGGAGAGATAGCGTCGAAAATAGGCCAGCTGTACTATCACTTCTAGTAAGTTTTACTTACAAACGAACTACTACACCTTACGTTCAATGTGTCGGAAACCTTTTTTGACAATTGACAGTTATATACCACCATCACGACATTCGCTTCGCTCTCGTGTTTGTAACTCAGTAGCAGCAACAGTAAAGTTACGTAAATTTTGGACATGGATTAATTAATGGATCCAATATCTTATTTAAACATTCAGTTTTGGAACTCTAATTAATGATTTAGACAAAAAAACGAGAAAACCCACAAGGATTAATGATTTAACCGTTTTTTCCACATTTTTCGCTGTTTCTTCGCTCTTATAAGACGCATCGCGATGTTTTATAGTCTATAACCTTCCTAGATAAGAATTTTTAACTCGAACCAGCAGTCCCTGAGATTAGGACGTTCAAACAAACTCTTCAGCTTTATATATTAGTATTAAATTTTAATTATCATTTTTCCCTTTAGTCTCAGGACTAGTGAAACGGCTTACCTACGGGAGGCGTTTTCGTTCTACCAAGCGATCCGTGCCAGACGCTACTACACGCACGCGGTGAAGGAAGACAAATGCGAACTTATGGTCAAGAAATTACGATACTACGCTCGTTTCATAGTCGTCTCATTGCTCCTGAATAGATTGAAGTTAGTCGACGATCTTATACGGGAACTCGATAACCAGATAATTGAATATGGTACCACTTACAATGCTGAAGACCAGATGGAATGGACTGTCGTTGTGGACGAGGTCAAAGCGTTCCTTGATGCTGAGCCAGCTGTCCAAGTTATGTCCAACGACGTGCCGGCACCGGATCTATCCAATAGGTAATGTTCGATCGATTTTAATACGCTAAATGCGGGTAGATTTCAGCATTTACTATCTACGCTGACCGGCGTTCGTGAAAGTTGCTAGGACAGTAGCTTGTAAATCAGCGCACAAGTTGACCGCGTGCGAAACATTTTATTAGTGTATGTTAGTGTCCGCGACAACTACTGCAAGCAACGTGTGCTAACTGAAGAGCTGGAGCGATTTCTGTGACGCAAGTTTAATGGTGTTGTTTTTTACTCGTATTCAAAGCAAAGCATCCGAAACGTCGGACCTAAGTTAAAATAATTGCAAATAAGCTTAACTAATATATATCGCATTTTAAACAGTTAAAGTATTGTATTAAAACATTGTTATATTGCAGAATCCACCCCGACCACATACCATATATTGAAAGAGGGCCCCATATGCACCTTTCTTTGCAAGACGTCATCATTATTGGTAGCAGCACACAGCAAGCGAAGTTCTCGGAATTAACCATAGACATGTATAGAATCCTGCAGATCCTGGAGAAGGAGCCCATCGGGCCAGCACCCCAGGCCTTGACTGAGGATATGCAACCTCACGGACCGCCACCAGCACCACATAGTACGTCACGAGGTAAGCTTGCATATTTAGAGCTCTCTCCAAACTTTTTGGCCGGGCTGAAGTGAGCGCGACCTTGCGCATGGTACTATCAATTTTAAGCACAAAGTCGAGTCCCCCCCACACCCGTGCACTCCCTTTGTCGCAACTGATACCTGCATTTTGCGTTCTGCGCAACCATCCGCGTTAACTTCAGCCCGGTCAAAAAGTTTGGAGAACACTTCACATACTTTTAGCGTGGCGCGTATGAAAAACGACAGCTATATATATACTAATGAAAAGCTGAAAAGTTTGTTTGTTTGAACACGCTAATCTTGGGAACCACTGGTTCGATTTAAATTGTGTTAGACAGATCATTTATCTAGGGAGGCTTTAGGCATATAAAATATCACGCGACCAAAACAATACCGGATAAAAAGGCCCCTTGAAAGAAATATCTTGCGATAAATACAAAAGAAAATACAGTTTTGTTTACATTTCCTTGTTTACCAATTGCGATAATTGCGCGTTGCCAAGGTAACGAGTGGAGGGTAATTTCATTGCGTAGGATACGTCGTCGGAGACAGCTTCAGGCGGGACAACCCACACAAGTACCTGTTGTTTAAGCCAACCGCTCTGCAGTGCATGGTCTATCTAGCGAGCAGTTGCAACGATTTGTCAGTCAACGGAGCCATACTCCTATACATTTCAGCAGATGGTTATATTCCTTCGCATGCGAGGAACAACGAAAATATCAGTGAGTAACTTATTGTTTATCCCTTCATAGACTAATCCCTCAACATAATGTTCTAGTTCTTTACTTTCTACGTCTTAATTCGCCATCTTTGAACTCTCTCCGTCCCTTTCACACGTACCCTCTCGCTCGTTCTTACATTTCATTCCACACATTTTACCTATATGTAAATTTCCAATTCTCTATTTAAACTTCATCCTATTTGTATATAATTTTTACAGACGAAAACAGCGAATACATGAATTTTTTAATAGTTACTTTATTAATATGTTTCACTCAATATTATTTCATAATTTAAAAATACACAGTTTTATTGAAACCTACATTTTCGTGCAATTATTTTTTTTTTTAGATGAATATAGACTAGCGTCGAGTTCACTTGACGATAGATGAAATACCTCAGCCGTATAACATCTAAACAAGATGCGCAGTCTACCTATTTTAACTTTGGCCATCACAAAATCACAGCCTGCAGCCGAAACGCGATTGAACTTCACGGCTTTATTATCTGTGTCTTCGGATTTTCGATATCCCATTCACCCATTTAATATTCATATTTCCAGACGTAGTCCAACACGTTCAAGAAAAATCGTAAATTGATGAAACCCAGTTAGGATCGACTCATTGATTAATAGACATACATTGCTACAGCCATGCATTAGACCAACGAGTCAAAATCTAATAAAAATATATGAAAGCTTATATTATATACATTACAATTCTTACAAAAACTTGTTTTCAAAATTATGATTTTTTTCGGTTCTACACTATACTATTCAAATTAACTTCAGCTGGTTACGATGGCGGTGGATTCATCACATCCGGGAAATTAGAATCGTCCCGGGAGTCCCGGGAAGCGCGGAGTGGACAGACACAGGAGAGGAGTAGGGGAAAAGACCATTACCTACTATATCCTGGCGATATATACCCCTTTACGAGACGACCTTTGTTCATAGTCGTGGAGTCGAATTGTTCTGATCTTATGCAGACTATGCCCAGACATTTTAACCAGCCCCTGGTAATGCTGATGTCGGCGCAAGAACTTCCAGCTGGCTTGGCAGGTACAGTGTTTTTTGGTTGACAAATTACCGTATTTTTTTATGATAGAAGAGGATTGACAAGTATGGCGTTCATTTGATGGGAGGTGAAATACCCCAGCCTATAGCAACTACACAATGCGCTGTCGGCTTATCTCGCTTTGGATCCACGGAAACGGGAACGCGATTAAGCATCACGGCTTTTTCATCTGTGTTTATGACCTGAACGGATTTGCGATATACCAACCCCAAACCCCTTAATATCAAGATTTCCAGACGATGGTCAAGATGTTTCAGAAAAATTACAAACATGTATCCGGGGACCGAACCCACGACCCCTTGATTATTAGTCATACACTGCTACCATCAAACCAACGAACCCGTCGACCGCTTCTGTAGCTAAATTGTTGAACGCATAGCGCGAGGTCCTGGATTCGAATCCCGGGGATATATAGAAGAATCAGTTAATGAAGACAAATAAATGTGTTGGGCCCTTGCTCCACGGGCGGAAACGAATTTTCACTTTCTTATAAGCAATACTAATATAGATGGAACTTATTCATAGACAGAAAGAGGTTTCAAAGCATGTCTACTGTCTTTGCCTGTATTGTTAAATTTTTACGTACATTTTGTTGTTAAAACTTTTGAGTCTATAAGAGATTTTTTTTTTCAGAACGAAGTCACCAAGGAAACCTACTAACACTGTTTCTTAATAATCCGCTGATGGGTTTCTGTATGTCATGCGAGGTTTACACAATTGAAGAAGGCCTATTGGACATTTGCGAAAGTCTAGTTCTAGACTTCATGTTCCAATGCGTGCAGTTAATACTGCGGATAAGAATCGGTATGTGTTTATTAAGCCTAAGAGCCATTACGCACAGCCGGCGACTCTCGACGACCAAAGTGAGAGTCGCCTCTGTCTGGGCAACTGACGACCAAGTGCGTAAGAATCTATTTCAACCATAGTAACTTACAGTCGCCAAAGACTTACCGACAGCGCGTAATAGCGCTAATTAAGTCTGTAGTTTACGCTAGTAATACACATTTGAACAAAACACGTTAACGGTTTAAAACGCGTAATTTTTTTTAACTTACTAAAAATGTGTAACGATTTAAAATGCGTAACATATTACTTGTTTATAAGTTTGAGTTAACGTTATGAATGCTTTGCAAACCCCGACATATCTGGCTGGTAGTTAAACTAAATAAATAGAATGTAGACTCATATATTTCCCGTTATTAACCGTTAAAATAGTTTTATGTAATACATAATTAGCATCAAAGTTAAATATTGTCTGTAGTTTACGCGAGTTGTACACTTTTATTAAAACACTGTAACGGTCTAAACCGCGATATGTATAAAACTTGTTTATTTACCCGACGTGTCGGATGCCACGTGTCGGATTATTTCAGTCTTCCATTGACCACGGTTGCTGCAAAGCATCCGAAACGTCGGAATGTAGTTGAAAAATATTTTCCAAATAAGTTTAACTAACATACTTGCATGTAACACCATATTTTCTGCTTTTAGATATGAATTTTTTCGCCTTCATGGGCGACGAATTCCTTCGCACAATCATCCTACGGTACTTGTTCTGTGAATGTTCGCTGCGTATGAACAGAAACTTTCGATCCCAATCACAGATCGTTCACTCGATTCCGCCGATGCCCGAAGAGTTACTAGCTCACTCTTCACTCGTGTCCATCGTTCTTAAAATCGCGGATCAGCTGGGGGTACGTTTAAAAAATATATATCCAATCTCAGCGAATACATTTTATTAACTTAGCAAGCTGTTAAGCTAATATGATCTAGCGAGCGATTGAATCTAGCTATTGCCATTTTGTAGCGAGATATTTCTATTGTTAACGAATGCGCAAGCGACTTTTTTCTGCTTCTCTCCATCCTTTTACCATGCCGTATAGAGGTCTTAATTTTTTCAGGTGAGGAACCACTTCTCTGACATCTCCGGCCCTGGCCCTGGAACGAGAGAACAGACTTAGACAACAAACACGTTCCCTTTAGGAAAGATATAAATGCGGCTGACCACATAAAAGTGGCTGTTTTTAAAAGAACAAGTCGGTCCTAAAATGTTAAGAGATGAGAACCATGCTCAATTATAGACCCTCCTCTCTCAACTAAGAAGTAAGATCTCAATTAGAGGATAAGAACCGAGGCGTCTATTTGGGAATTTCATCTTCCACTACGAAGATGGTTCCTTCAAGACCCCTCTTAATAAATAAGTACCGGACAAAACCGGATTTTTCTCTAGTCACCATCAGTCATCTTAGGGAATATAGACGAAAGAAAAAGTGGTAAACGCCAAAAAAATGGAAAAACATAAAAAAATGAAAAAAACACCTCACCTCATCCACTAGAATAAAGATTAATATGTCTTTAAATATAACAAACTTTCGCTTAAAACTCTATATTCTCTTATAAATATATGGCTCAGTGTTACTTGTAGTTAGCTAAATATTGGTTTCCGTCTACTTAGCTCCACTTGAGATACAATTTTTCTAGACGTCAAATTGTATCTGCAAGTTGAAGCTAACCGATGGAAGACCATTTAGGAAACTCTTTAGATATAAGTGACTCCCAGAACATCGAAGCAGGCTAATCAGGATTATGAAGAATGATTAATGATCCTTTGGTTTAAAAATCTATATTGGTATCTCCTTTAAGTGATCATAGAATCATCCCTCTCATATAGTCGGATCGTTGAATCAGCGGAAATATATTTGTGATAAAAATTATACAGCGACGCATTAATGAGAATCGATATATTTTACATATAAAGCAAAAGTATTGTTAAATTTTATAAATACAGAACAAAAGGTAATGTTTAAATAAAGAATATTTACAAAACTACAAGATTAGGCACATCGATCAATTCAACATAAGAAAAATACGTAAAATCAATAAGTTTTGAGACGGGAGAAATATCAGCAAGCAGGTTAAGAAACAGACGAAATGATGGATCTTAGTGACAAAGTACCCATAAGTAAGTCAACGCCTGTACACCATACCATACAGAGTAGGCACGCTAGATGCCTTATATGAAAAAATAACATACAATTGTCACACAGTGGAGTTGGAGATCATGTCACCGTAGATCTATCTATACATACAAAAAATGTGGAATAATGCTTTGATTAGAATATAAAACTTTCCTAAACAGAGCTAATTCTTATAAGTGACACATATTAGTGTATGTCATGGATTGTACTACGGTGTCATACACATTCGGGATTTACATTGAACATCTTTCAATTACATTAACTTAAAATTCCACAATATATGGATTGTGTATATATTGTTTGATTCATTATTTTTATTAAAAAAGATTTCAAAGAAAGGTGCAGTTGCTTTACTTTGTGTAAAACTCTCTTTAGAATATTTTTTCAACTCACGTTTTGTCGTCTTTGAACTTCATAATACGCGGTCAATGTGTATCCCGAATGTTTTAACTATATTTTATTGTGTAAACTTTATTTTAGTAATCGGGTGCTTTATTTAAGGATATCGTATCTTACTTACGCTAAACGCATATAGTATGACATGACTAAATCAAGAATAACATATAATATATATTTTATTATGTTTGGGTAATGATTCAATGTCTTTATTACAATTCTTATATAGAATATATACGCTCGCCAGATATTATATACTTATGATAAGTATTGCTGTCACTTTTCTAACATATGTGTTTCTTTTTCCTATGCTCCACTCCTGCCTTTCACTGCCATTCAATTCCTACCCTCCTAAGTAAATCTCTTTCTACCCACCCTTCTACCTTAGTATACGCTAATTTAATGTATACTTATATTAACGTCCACTTTCTATATGTATTTTAGATAATGTTAATTTATAAATAAGAGTTAAGTTTCTTAAACGGTGTGTAAACATTCAGCTAATAAATTTCAGCTCATTTTTTTGCGAAAGTGATTTTTTTATTACAGTGTTATAAACCCACTTTTCTAAATTGGATTAAAAAGAGATCCGTAAAGCGCTACCCACAGAGCAATTGTTAACCCAGGGCTTTATCGTTTAGGCTGACTCTATCTAAAGTTATTACGTTAAAACAAAAAAATATTTATGTTGTCAATATATTTCGTTACTTTATTTATAATCTTAATCCAGTAATTATTTGAATAACATAAACAACATCTTAAAATTTAAATATGTTTCCAATATTCCTAGTTTTCTTGTGATCTCTAAGAAAAGGAAGAAAACTAATTTATCCAATACTTATTATTGACTTCTCTCTCTTAGATATATTTAATATAGACAAATTAGTAAAAAGAAAATATATGAAGCTATATGTATGAAACCCGGAAAAAAAATTACAATATAAGTTAAAAGTTTACTTATTATTCTTGCAAAATATGAGAATATCCATAGTAATGAAGTAATGTATAGTAGAACACATTTTTCATACACTTTTCCACGCCATCTATGAGATAATGTAGGTACTAGCATAAACCGGTGTTGGAGGAAAGCTGGGGAAAAAAAATACTAACTGAAGTTTTATTATATGTAAGAAAACAGGTTTTTGGGGACATCATAGAAAGATTTAACTTTTCTAACGAATCTTACATAACGAACGAACAAAATATTTATGTAGAACTGTTTCATTTACATAATTAATTTAAAGAAAACATAATTTAATTTGACCTTTATTCAGTAAATCTAGCGTATCATCTTAATAACTATAACAGCTTTGCTCGTTATTTCATTAAGAAAGATATCACATCAAAACGGCTTTAAACTTGATAAATTCGAATGTCAGTAGTTTCGCTAAAATGTTAAAAATAAACACACTAAGGTGTAAAATACAAAACGCGTTTGAGATATAATAATAACATTAAATACAGTAAGACACAAATTACTGTGTCACGCGTTCTACGTCAACGAACATACGCTTGCGATACAATATGTACCTCACTCGTATGCCAATCGAGAAATAGGTAAGTCTTTTCTTACATAATTTGAAAACTGATGGCAATATATTATGTGTGTATTTTACATTTTTAAGTCCTTCGATCATTTTCATAAAACATTAACCGCCTTACGTTATGATGACGTGAAATGCTTACCGAAAATAAATTCACGCTCAAAATTATATTTAGAACGATAGCTTGGCCGCCGATTAGTTCGCCAGTTGAACGGCGGTATTGTACCGATCACAAATCGCATTAAAAGAAAACGCGAAGTGATTTTTGATAAATCATATTATTTGTATGGCGAGGTAAGACGAGGACGCGGTTCGATGCGGTACGAGCGCTCCAAGGTAAATTCGTGATATTGGTCAGAAATAACAGTAGGAGTGATACACAACTTATTCATACCTATTTTCACACTAACCCACGCAAACACGGCACGTTTTAGTAGCAGATACTCTCATTGAAACGAAATGTCGTGTGTCCAGTTGAATTGTGCCCGATTTGCTGGGCTTGTGTGAAAAAAGGAGGCGCAAGGAGGCTGTGGACGTCATCCGATACGTTAATGATAGTAAATATTATTCCCCACATATTTTTTTACTAAACTTATGGAAACTGAATTGTCACCAGATGAAGAGAAAAGTGTTCCACCGTTGCCATTAAAAACTTATCAATGGGAGGATTTGCGAAGAGCTCGTGAAGCCGGAGGTTATCCTTGGACGCATTTATTGAAGGTTCCACTTGAAGGCGAAATAACTGCGGAAGATATAATCAGATCTACAACACCCAGAAGAAGTATGTCACGTGAGTTTTCAAAATCACGGACTCACTCACCAGTCGATGGGGATGTCCAAAAAATTTTAAATCTGGACTCCTCTCCTGGTAGTAGCAGAAAACACGATGAAGACGGTAAAGATGAGGGTGTACACGTACCAAACTTTTCTAAAGAAATATCTTTAGATTCAGAAGAAGATGTTCTAAACCAACGAAAGGATGAAGCGCCCCCTTCTCATTTAGCAACTCCTGTAGAAATTCCAAAAAATATTTCACCAAAAAGTATATTGAAGCGCCGTGCTCAAGAACCACAATATATAGGCGTAACAGAAACGCGAGAAAAAACAAAGTGTTGTCATCCGCTTGTAAATAAAATAAAACATTTAGCAGATAAAACTCTTCAGAAGTTAGAGAGAAGCGACAACGAAAAATCTCCTTTATCGAAAAGAAAGAAAAATGAAGAGGCACAAGAAATAAGACAGCTTAAAAATTCACCAGGTGCTATTCGACGCCAAAAATTTAGTGCTATTAAATTAGGAGATTCGGATGAAGTAAGTAAAACAATAAGCATTGACACACCTCCCCCTAGGAAGAAAAAAGAGCATATTTACGAAGACATTGATGAATCTAAAGGACAATCTACAGAAAACCTATCAAGTACCCATCAGGAATTTCATAATGATGTTAAAGAAATAAAAAGAGATGCTGATAATTTAGAAAGAAGATCCAACAAATCTTGCGATCCCAGTCTTATAGCTGAAGATACATCTTCCCTAAAAAACGACGAACATATTATGGAAATGTTACATAAAAACATAAAAAAAGATAAAGATGTGACAGAAATGGATGTAAACATCGATGAAATTAATGAACCCAACGTTGACGAGAATATCGAAAAAGAATCAGAAATGCTTCAATCAAACCACAGCACGTACAATATTACAATAACCGAAATTACTGACGATGATTCCACGAGTAATATGGAACAATCATCAACAATACCTATAGAGGCATCCCCAAGTCCAAGCCCGAGAGAGATAGAACGAAAACGAAAAGATGAGTTTCACAATAGCGATTGGTCTAAACCGAGCAGGTAAAAAAATATTTTATTTATATATACAGTATGCTGGCGCGAATTTTTATTTAAACTTCATTATTCAATAAGACAAAACATTTGTTTTTAACACATACAAAACGAACGCTAGCTTCTGTTCGTCTGATAAATATAGCTCTGTCTAAAATGTCTTCCTGCACAGTAGGTAAGCTCTTTGAAATTGTCATCGACCACCAGTGCTCGCAGTTGCTTTTACGCCCGTGATTAGTTCATTTACGACCCCGCTTTCACAAACACGCTGTACGATAATGTATTACATTAGGTAAAATGTGAACCCAATCGGAATTATTTTATCATAACAAACGCTTAGAAATGGGTGGGGAATAAGAGGGGATTTAAAGGATATAGATATGAGTAATTTGCGTCGATGGACTTCGGAAGGTGGCACTCCTTTAGAAAGACCAGTAAGGCCTACACGGGAAGGTAGTGTCCAACTTTATACGCCAGAAGTGCGCTGCGCCTGCCAATTTTTTCAATCAGTTTCGCTTTTACCCGAACGAGTAAATCCAGTGGGCACTCGACCAACGTCGCGGGCTAGTAACATTATTTCTAATCTAAGGTAAGTCCACCTACGTTTATAACATAATATTATTACGTTTATGACGGAATTACGATCTGCAAAATACATTTTCAAACACTTATATTTGAATGTTACCCGGCAACTGCTGAGTCTAAAACGAGCGTCCCGGTTGTCCTAATTATGATACGTGAAGCGTGTTTGTGTGCGTGCGGTTTTAAATATAATTCTCTTTGACTCGACGGCTTTCTTAAATTATGCGACTTTTTGAGAACTTTGTCCGCAAGGCGATAGTTATTGTGTACACATTTCTGCGAATACTTTAAAAAACATTTTATAATTATTACTCATTATTATTTTTTTTGTATACATGTAACGTATTTTTATCTTTTCAGTGATCACGAATATGAAATAATTGAAAAACCGCCCCCAAATCTCATCTACACAGCTCCGAGCGTTGATGACAAAGTTAAAATGGTAAAGACAGATGATGAGTTATCGAGCACCACATCATTAGAACGAAAATATTTACAGCATGCGTCGGATGACGAAGATCAAGCTGACGATAAAGAAAATATGAATGTGGAAAAAAACGAAAATGCTATTAGTGCAGAGGCTCTGCAGAAAGATATCGAGGAACGGTTCTTTGTAAACACACCGTCGACTGTTTCGAGAACTGAATGTGAAGTTAGTACTAGCCAAGTTGATTCATCTGCTTTAGAAAATTTACCTTTGAAAAGAGATAGCCGCTCGAAAACTGGAGAAAAAGTCGACAGTAAAATACAACAACGACTCAAAGAAGGCACAGGAAAGTTAAAAACACAAGCAGGCAAACTAAAAACAAAAATAAACAACATGAAAATGCCAGAGAGGCCAAAATTTAAAATGCCCGATAGGCCTAAATTTTCTTTTCCCGACAAAAGCAAATTTAGCTTACCGGAAAGAACTAAAATGAAAAGTTTTAATATAAAAGAAAAATTTTCACTGGGAGAACGAAGAAAATTTTCACTACCAGAAAGGCCTAAATTTAATGTTCCTGACTTCCCAAAATTTAAAATGCCGGAGAGGCCAAAAATTAATTTTCCTAGTTTGGGGCGAAAAAAGGAGTATAAAGTTGACAATGACACCACAGAGTCCACTACGGATTTACAAAATACAGCCACCGTAGATTTCGAAGCGAAAACGTATCCAAGATTATTTTCGAAAAAGAAGAAAATTGTTCTTCCTAAAACATCTTCATCCCCGACCTTAAACAGAGAAGATACTCCTCCCCCCACGTTTACATTTACGCGAATGAAAAAACCAGCGGAGCAAACATCATATACACTAAATGAACCTGAAACACCCCGCGAATACGGAAATATTGATAAGGCCGACGTAGATTTCTCTTCCAATGGCTTAGAAAGAAAACAGTTTGAAGCTACTTATGATTTCGACAGAGTTCCCGAGTATCTCGATGAAGAAGAAGCAGAATTCAAAGAAAGTTCCGATACCCACTCTGCGTCGCCCGTAGCCCCCTCGAATCTGGAATACACGCACATTAACGAAATAAATAATGACGAATTTTTTGTTCGACCGAGAGGTATATCTCGTGAAAATATACAAGTAAGGGAGTACTTGAGCGACGAAATACGACAGGCGTTTCAAACGCCAAAGAATGTGTTGGTTACGATGGGTAGTGATATAAGAAGTGACGAACATATGTATGTAAATGATCTGGACGTGGACCATGATTTGATAGATGACAATGAGAACATGAAGTATTCAACGGAAGATGTAAATGAAAGAGATGACGGATATTACACATTTCCTCCCGTAAGACCATCGAGAGCAAAACGAAAGAAGAAAGATGCAGAATCGATAAAATATATCGACGATAGTGTTACAGCCAGTATGCAATTTAGCGAAGTCGATTTAGGTATGTCTGTTGATCAGCTTCATGAACAACCGATAAATGGAAATTTTGAAGATGATAAGGTTAATTGTGAGTTGTCAGAATTTCCCCCACCCACAGACCTACGTTCTATTCATGAATATGCAAATGAAGAACTGTTTGATTATCCGGAACAAATTCAATCACAAACACTTCCTATGCCGCCTAAGAGAAAGAAGAAGTTTAAACAGGACAAACATTCGTCGTTGACCGATTTACAATTATCTAAAGAACAGCCTCAGGAACACAGTGAAGATGTAAGTATTTGTTATTAATCGATTTAGGTATTTTTCTTACATACGAAGTACCTACAGACACCTTTCTTGTGATGGACTGGCTACAGCTTAGAACAGAATTTACCAAAATCAGTCAAGTGTTTTCGGCTTGACAGAATAAAAAAATCCTATACCTCTTAATATTTCAAATATTATGTATAATTTATACTTAACAATAGAAAATACCCAAGACTTTATGTCAAGTAATGAGTGTACTTTACGCGAGTAGTACACATTTAAATAAAACACTACTTACGGTTTAAAACGCAATATGCATTAGTGAAAATTTATTTACAATTTTTTTTTACCATTTAATGCATCTGAAACATTTGAATAACCACAGTTGAAATAAACTCTAAATAAGTTAAACGTGTGACGTGTTTTATTAAAAAATTGCTGTTACATTGTTGTTCCGTATGTTTACAACAATTTTGATTTAAATCTTTTTGTAGACTGAACATTAATAAGTATACTTAGTTTCGTTTGACGTTATTTGTCAGGTATTGAGTAAAGGTTAAAATACGTATTGAAAGTGAAATAATTTGAAGACGATCGTTCCTGGCAGAGTTCCAGACAAATACGACTTGGGCTGTGGATATAATGCGACTTATATTTTTAGATGCCTCTGTATTAATGCTTGTTGACCTAGTTAAATAGCTTCAATTTAAATTTTCACTATTTCCGATGACATAACGTATATTGATATAAATAAGCAATCTTACATTAATCTCAAAGATATATACCTAAAAAGCATTTGAGTATGTACAGGAATTCACAGTCTGTAGTGTACGCGAGAACACATAAAAATTAATGATTTATAACAATGAAATCTACTTATGTACCCTTTACACTACATATTGTCGGAAGTAACTTTTTTGCATCGTAAAAATATTGGTGAAAACCTTATTTACAAAATTTGAAACTACTAATTAAATACTTTCAAAGATTTTAAATTCATAAGGCATAAAATATGGTTACAGACTTATTTAATGACATAGCGTTAATCTGCTTTCAGATAATTGTATATCGAACCGAGCATGAATACATCATTCCTCAAGCTCAAGAAATGGTCACGGACGCAAGTCCAGCGCCTCCAAAACGAACGCGTTCAAGAAGTTCTCGTGAACCATCCTTGTACGACGATGATCGTACATCGCGTGGTGCGGAATCACTCATTCTTGATTCTAATCTTCCTCCAGTGAATGATGTCGATATAGGCAAAGAGATTCGTGATGAAAGCCCAGGATATGCTACTGTTGACAAAGGTGCTAGTACCCCAATTAAAACAGCTAGAAGATCCAAAAGTAAAACACCACCAAGGCCCCGAAAAAGTAATAGCTCCGAACGTAAGTACTATACAGTAAGTGGTAGTAAAAGTGCAGTACCACATAGGCCGCCGAGAAAGAAATCGTCAACTAGTCTTACAACTTTAGACAGTTTTGCTAGACGATCTATAAGTGGCGATTTTACTCAGTACGTGGAAATTGATGAACCCCACATGGATGATACTCATAAAGATTTAAAATCCGGTGATATATTGAGCAAAATGAAAGACAGACCACTACCACCACCACCACGACCACCAAGGGGACCAAAAAAAAAGAAAAGATCTATAGACGGTATTGACGAACTTGCACTAATAGTTGACGTAAGTTCTACGCTATGTAAGGCTGATTCGCCATATTTATCAAGCGAATTGCAACAAAACAACATTGTGGAAATTGAAGTTTCAACACAAACAGATCCGCTGCCGGACGACGTTGACTTTGATTTAGAAGAAAACCTAAACATATCCTTTTCTAGTTCTTTAAAAGATCTAGTAAACGAGGATTCGATGGTCGGTAAGTTATCAGATAAAACCGGCTCTCGCCCTACATCGCGATCTGAGAAATCGTTAAAACTCTCTGACCCCAAAATATCTGGCCTTGGATGTTCGTCACCGACTGTTATTTTAGTAGAGAAGCGCGTTTCCAGTCCAACTATGATAAATGAAAAAGATGAATTAATTACTGAAGCATCTTTAACAGTACAACATATAGATATAGATGAAACTGAAATTCCAGAGGTACCACCATTACCAAAATCGAGGATACCATCGAGTATAACACCTCAACCATCTGTCAGAGCACAAAGTAGCCGTGCATTGGAAAGAGTAACTACTGACCCGAGCCGTGATGTTCAACTGGACAATTTGATAACCCAAAGGTTACAAGTAAGAGATCTAGATGTGGGCAGATTAAATGTAACAGAATTACAGGCTAGCAAGATACTTGTATCGGATATCGAAGGAATGACACTTCACGTAAATGAACTGGATTCAAAGTCAGGCCATATATCGGTAAATGGAATAGAATTTTCGCAGTCCGTTATAGATGAAATCGCTAAAAAATTCGCTGAAATGTCCGCTGTTAGCTTCATGCAGCCCTCGACATCGGCACAACCTACTTTAATACAAGAAAGTACCTCGACGAAGCCCGAAAACAGGGAAGAGGAAACACAAACAGAAACAACTCAATCTGAGGAAAAGCTGGATGTAGAAACGCTCAAGTCTAATTTAACTACGCCAGCACCAGCACCCCCACAATCAATAATCGAGGAGACCACTCCCCCACAGAGACCTCCACCACCTGACTTAACGCCACTTCTGTTCTCATATCTACAAGACATTGCACCTCCACCGACCTCCATTTACTTCCCACGGAACGCAAGAGAATCACAGTTCACAGAATTTCCAGAACACCACACTCCAGCTCCGCCTTTACGTAGGACCAAACGTAAACCGGCGGCAGCTCCAAGCGAGTCCAGTTCTGACGACACGAGACCTAGGCCTTCGCCCCGGCGAATGCCTCTCCCGGTCAGGTCTCAGGAACCAACGATAACAGAAGCGGGTGCTCAGTTCCTGCGCGTATGCCACAATTCTGTAAGTCGAGTAGTGAGGAACATCTTCAACTCCTTTATGAATTACGTCCATGGGGCTCAAGATAAACGGGACGTCCAGATGGCTATGGTTATATGTTTAGTTTTAGTTGCTGGTTTAATTATGTTCGGTTTAAGTGATAGTAGAGCGGTGCACCATCACCATTGGGAATTCTTTAACCCTCCAGATATACCACAGTAACTCAATAACCCTATACGCTATAACGCGTAATATAGAGAACAGATCTAACGCAAAGGAATTGATAGTAAAGAAGCATTTCTGCAAACCAATCTTTCCAGTATGTGTTATTTATTGCTGCCTTAGTTATTAAGTTTAACGTAAATTAATTTTCAGTCTTGACAATGCAATTCATTCTTTTTGATTCAACTGTAGTATAATTGTTAAACGAACAATCTTTTATTCGTTGTTAAAAATCGCTCTGGTACTTCTGTATGTTTTATTATATGTGCCTATATTTTGGTTGTGTAATTGTGATTAGATACAAGTCGTGGAATTTAAAACATATAAAATATGTAACGTAAATTGTTGTTTCGTTGATATTTAATGTTCGTTGTCAGTATATTAAACGTTAATTACCTAATGTTATTTAGTGTCTAAATAAAAACAACCGCACAATTATTATTCTCAAGCGTGTGGGCCAATGTTATGCATTTTGTAAATTTTCTTTTTGTTGTGTAAAATAAAATTGTTAACATTCATTTAAAGTTTTTTATTTGTAATTCATTTGTGTGTGACCAGTGCCGTGTAATCAATACATGTACATGGACACTGCAGTGTAATGACCTATCAATATTTCCCTTGAGTTTGGTTAAGGCACATTTATGTTGTTCTTATTAATATAAAAAATATGGAACTAAAAAAATAAAAATAACTATAAAAATATCTTAAAGTCCAAAGTAAGAGATGGCGACACTTATAATTAACATAATAATATTATGTAGACCCTCAAAATGTGTAGACAATGTATATATAATTATAATGCTATATTACCAACAGATGGCGTTTATATCAAATAAAATAACAAAAGTAACAATATTAAACAATTTATTAACAATAGCTAAGTACAATATCATCTCTCTTCAATCTTGGTTTACCATATATACAAGAAAATGTATTTGTTATTTAAATGGTCCAATATATAATTGGCAAACAAAATCTTTTTATATCCCTCTTTTATTATACTATATATGATAAATGACTACCATGGATAAGAGAAAACATCGTACATTTAATATGTACAATTTTTGATTACAACACAGCTTTACAATATGCTATACAATGGTCAAACCTGTATAACTTCTTTAACCACCTTTAAATCCACTCTCATATACTTTGGAGTCCGGTATCCAATATTGAGGCAATAAGGGAATGGCTGCCGTCACCTGACACACACCACAGAATTATTATTTTTAACAACAAACTAAATCTGCCGCTTTAAAAATATGGAAAGACCTGCCTGCACCCCTTAGTACTAGTTCTAAGGAGATGACCTACATGACTTTCAAGCGGCATGTTAAACTGGACCTCCCTGGTAAGATATGCAACAATTAATGGTTATTATTATTATTTTATCATGCATATGTTTGTTATAGTATAAAAATCTTGAAATTATATTACTTAACTAAACTTCACTAATTTGCTTCTATGGTCAGTCTGAAAACCAGCGCTGCTAAGTGTGACAAGCGTTCAGCAGCATAGCTGAGACTGATACCGATTGCCATCTCTCATATATATTTATTACACACACACATTATGCACACAATTTAGTTATAAGTTTGTAAATATCTTATCATGGAAATAAAAGTTTTGAATGTGAATTTGAAATCTCTGGCAAAAGTAGTCTATTGAATTTATGTATAAGTTATAACAAAAGCAATTCTTTTTTAATTAGGAATACTATTGCATTACCTTGTTAATTTCTTTCCCATACTCTTAATGTGCTGGTGCAGTTTGTGACACTGCCGTACCAAAGAAGAATTAATTTGTAGCTTTTGCTTTTATTCTGTTCTTCTATTAATGTATTTAAAGCCAGACTCATTTTGCGATCATGTCAGGCTGGATCTCTGAAACACACCACAGAAGAAATAATAATAGCTGCACATAATTATGGACAGTAAATTAAATTAGAACTCTGGGAAAAAATTGTATAATCAATGTATGTAACTTCTAAATCTACAAAAACTGGTTTATATGTCACTAGTGTTAGATTATCTAGTCAAGGTTAATATTTCTTTGTTATTTTCTTTCAATTTAATTTAATAAAGCAGGCTGATTCAAATACTAAGCATTAATTTGGTTTAATACAACATATTATGTATATTTCAAGTCTGTCTGTCATATCAGTAGGTACATTGATTTGATTGAAAATAGACTTAAATTCTTGGCGAATTGTGAACAAGTTAACATCTCAAATCTTGCTCGAAACACATAGCAAATTGCAATCCGACTTAAATCAGGCTACTGGTATTTGGTGGTTAAATTATCTATACCTTTTCCATAAATATAGTGCTGTTGGTGATCTTGTCATAAAAACTATAATGTTTTGCCTGCCTTTTATTCTGTTATTGTTTCCGTAGCCAGACTGTCTTTTGTGAAAACAGTTATGTGCTAAAACAGCAAATAATATAGTTCATATTTATTTACATTCAGCTGTCATGTATATAACTAACTGACATGCATGATGTATATTGTATACAGGCGTTTTAACAAGTCTTGTTCAATTGAAAAATGTTTTGCTGCAAGTTATCCTTCAAAATTTAAAACTAAATTCGATTACTCTACATAAAACACAATTATAAGAAGATTTTAAATATAAAATAAACGTTTTTAAATATAGCTATATTTTTAATAATTTTCTTATCTGTGGCACACCTGACTTTCGTGACATTTGTATTTTACATTTACTGTCACCCTTAGTGCACTAGCTTTTGTCAAGTAATGAATATTAACATTAAACATACTTTAGAAATCATTTTTTAAACATGTTTAGCGCTAATCATTTGTAATTAGTATAATATATTTTAATTTAATAAATAACTATGTATATATACCAAATTGAATAGTAAGCGCACAATCGTGTGTGACGACGATTACGACAAAATAACGTTTTTAGTTAGGACGGCGATATATTTCGTGCATAAGTATAGTTTGCAATAAATAAAATCTTGATATATGATAGATGCGATTTGACATGGTTGAGATAGCGTCTTGTATATTTTTAATACTTAATATGAAATATTCATGAATTTGTAAAAAAAATGCTTCGTAGTTGGCAATAATAGGGTTGCAAATTTCTTACTTGAAGATGACCACACTCACGCAGTGTACTAGTTGCTTGTCAGCCATCGGTATAGTCGGCGTTTTTCAGTTTCTTTCGAGATCTATCGCAGTTTAATCTCTTCGTTCGCGAATATCATGAAATATAATATGTTTTATTAAACCACTACTATCCTTTCAAATGATTCCCTAAATCAAAATGTAAAGAATTTTCGACTTCCATCGCGTCTCAGCCCGGTGAAGGAATATCTAGCCGTCGGCCTCCGCGGCTTCCAAGTTCTGAAGTTGTCGTTTGTTTGGTTGTAACATTAAATAGAACTATGCAACAATGTGGATTTTGTTCAATGGTGTCTGGTTTTTTTAGACGTGCTATGTGCGTTGGTAGCAGGCGTGGAAGCAGTGAAAGCTATTATCGTGAACTTGGCGATCAAGACACTCTGGTAAACATTCCTTTGACTGACTTAATTATTGTATCTCCGTCCTCTATTTATTACTAAGCGTTATTTATTCGTGCTTTGCAAATTCTCGCCATTGATTATAATAGCATTATCAGACAGATGTAGTAAACATTTGCAATTATAGCGTATACGCGGTCTCTGTTTATTTTTCTCATGTCAAACGTGTCAGAGTTGGTGAAAGTTGAATTTCACTTTGCATACTTGTATAATGTGAATAATACCACAAGGATTCTGCAACACTTGGCAATATGTTATATTATGGCACTGACCCTGAAATGTCCTATTCACAAGTAAATAAATTGTGTTTATTAACAAGTATTTTATTACTGTGGCCTCAACCAATTAATTATAAATAATATAAACAAATAAATAATATATTTCTTACTCTAATTTTAATTTATTTATATATATAGGTAAGTACAAGGTGTTGTTCTTTAATAAAAATTACAAATCCTCAAAGATTTTTAACAGCAGGATCAGTCCTATAAAAGATGGTGTAATTTAAATTATAAAAATATCTGTTTAATACTATTGTTCAATTAAAATAGCCAAAGTAATTAAAGAACTCTAGAATCTATTTTAATTCCTAACCTACGGCAAGAGTAACAAATATTATGTATGTGGTTTACCACATACATAATATTTGTTACTAAAACACTGTTTCTACTATTTAAAGGTAATTAATTTCTTTGAAATATACTATAAAATTACTCAAGATTATATTAGGTATTTATATTTTTTAAATCCAAGTAGATTTTATACTTATATTTGAGACTAGACAACACTGAATTGATCTGTTTGTAGAACTCACAAAATATGGGATACTAACAATTGAGGGTCTAACTAAATAACCTATAATACCTAAGAATTAAGAATAGTCAATTAGTTTATAGTTGATGTGATTATGAAATATTTTTTTTTGTTAATACCCGTAGAGAGTATGTTTCTATGGTTTAATACAGCAGGCCAATTTAAATACTATGCCTCTTTCTGTTTAATTAGATGTTTTTATTGATTTGTCCAAAATTAATTTAGGATGTCCAATTGTTTTTTTAAATTTTTTTGTACAAAAATATTACAAAATAATTTTTCATTTTCCATCTCTTGGCAAATTGTGACCACATCTAAAATCTTGCTCAAAACACATAGCAAATTTGAATCTGACTTAAATCAGGCTACTGGTTTTTGCTGGTTAAAATATCTATAAATAAACATAATTAGGGCAACTGTCTTTTCTCTATACTGTGGTAGGGCAGACGACGAACGGTTATAATTGGACGTGTGACAATCTCACGCGCATATAAATGCGGCGGCGTTATATTTATAATGGTTTATTTTAGTTTTATGGGTATGGTAAGACCTCGATATTGCATACTAGCTGTATCAGCGACTACGTCCGCGTAGAATAGTTATTTTCGGCATCCAAATTTGTTTTTTGTAAACCTCCTCTTCATCTTTATAAATTTAAGCTACCCACGACATCGATTTCCGTCGCTCGCGAAACGTCGTTTGGGTCCCGTCGATCTTGTAAGTTAATCTTAAAAGATAGCCACATAATGTCGTTTACATAATTTAAATAGGAATCATTCTTTCGTCCTCCTTGTTTGCTCCTGTTAGATACAGCGCGATGCTTAGCATATAGCTGCCCTCGATAAATGCTCTAACCAACACAAAAATAATTATTCAATTCGAACCAGTAGTTCTGGAGATTAGCGCGTTCAAACAAACAAACTCTTCCGCTTTGTATATTAGTATTAGTTATATATACAAAGTACTTGTAAAGTCACAATGCGAATCTTGTACTCGTTTCAAACTGGATACATGTGTACGTAGCCGATAATCTACAGATTATACCAGATAGCGATGTAAATTAATGCAGACTTCATTAGAGTGGCTCTCAACAATTGTAGTTTTCAAAACGTGTGCCATTGTACCCCTTTGTGTTAAAAATAGTCAAGCACCTTTCAAACCTAAAGATACCGCGTACGTTCTGAATCGTTGCTAGAATTAAAAAATCGACGGTAGTTTTCGCGAGTAGTACACAATTAAATAAAACACGTTTAATGTGAAACTTATTAGTTAATTTATGTACAATTTATTGTAATAGCAGCCGTGGTCACGGGGGGATAGGCCACCTGCTGCTTGATGAAGTGTAGGACATGGTAGCTCCATTGGTTAGACTAGACTACTGAAAGCTGTGAATGCCGGTTCAAGACCTGCCCGTGTTAAAAGACATTTAAATAAAACATTTTAACCGTTTTGAACGCGAAACAGATAAGTTACAGTTATTTAAAAAACTGCCACTTCCGACCAGTTTTGTCAAATACCAATAATGATTGAATAGATGGCGCTAGCGTAGCAGTTTTTATTTTGACTTTAAGAGACACCCTCCATCTATAGTCTCCCCGTGACCACGACTGCTGCAAAGCATCCGAAACGTTAATATATATTTTTTTCATATAAGTTTAAGTAATATATTTCACATTTTAAACTGTTAAAGTGTTTTATTTAAATGTGTAATACTTAATGTAAACTACAGACAGTATTTGTTAAAAACACATTCAACTTTGGTTTCAGAAAATTGATGATCAATCCGTCATCTCTGATGATTCCGAGGGAATGGGTAAGTCATTTGATGTTTGACTTTTGATTTGCAATACTGTGCGATGTGTGTGCAAGCGGTGCCTACAAGTTAGGATGTATAAAATAACTAGCTGTGTCAGCGACTTCGTCCGCGTAGAAATAATTTTTGCCGTTTTTTTCCAATATCCCCGCTATTTCGACGTTCCTATTAGTGACAGGGCGATATGTTATAGCCTATAACTTTCCTTAATAAATGCTCTAACACAAAAAGATTTTTCATTTCGAACCAATAGTTCCCGAGTATGGCGCGTTCAAACAAACAAACCAACTCTTCAACTTTATATATTAGTATAGATTTGACAACGCGTTGCTGCTGCCGGACTACAGAAAGAAGTTTCAGAGCTTTGTTCCGAACTTCAGTTGCTTTTCGTCATGTGATTTGCACGTCCAATATCAAATTTTTGAAGTAACTTCAAAATAAAACACTTAAAGCTTAAAAAGCAAATTATTTTTCTTAACTTTCCTCTTTTAATTTAACTATGCATGGTTTGCGGCAGCCGTGGTCACGGGGGACTAAAGATGGGTGTACTTATGTCAAAACAAATCTCCATGGCCATAGCGTAGCAGATTTGACGCTGACATTAGGGACATCCGGCCTCTTCAGACCCCGTGACCACGGCTTATTTAAATAAGTAGTTTAAGCGAGTAGTCGATTAAACTACGGACTTTTTATTGGATATGTCTAATAAAGCCTCTACGTAACGTAACGCGTTACGGCGTAGTTATTTGAAATTTGTGTTTTCTGAAATAAATGCTTTTTTCTTTGTTGATGTACAAAAATTACTCTATTTTTAAAATTATATTTTTGAATTACAGTCTGCAATTGTAATAATTTTTCACCCGACATACAAAACCAATATTCAAAATATATAAATGAATCTGTTACGTGATCGTTATTGATGGTTTATCATGTTATTGCACATTAAAGACAATTGAAATAGCTGATAGTTGATTTATAAGACGACGATTTTCGACAGACGTAGATAAATAACGTTCATGGTTGTATAAATACTGGCTCACTTCAAGACCAGCCTATCAAAGCACTCCTGGTCGATGGGACCCTGGGCTTATGTAAGCTGCCCATTCCACGAGGTAGTTAAACATTGCCTGCTCATGGTGCAATTCTTATGGCCAGGGGCTTTGAGTTCAGCACGCTAAAATTCAATTCCCATCTAATCGTTCGAGGATGAACAACCAGCGAATGTTGCACCACTTTCGGTGGACTGGTTCTTGCATTGCCCCCTTTGAAGTCAGCCTTTGCATTTCTCAACTAAGCAGACCCCAAAAAATTATAAACTCAACTTTAAACCAAGAAATAAGTAAAAAATATCCATAAAAAAAAAATACGATTTATAACGTGAAATGTATTAGTTAGCTTATTTACAAAGCATCGGAACAGTCGGGTCGTGGTTGAAATAAATTTTAAATATTTTAACTAATACGTATTTGAATATTTGACCGTTAGAGTGTTCTATTTCATTAGAAACATCCCTTTTATAATTAGTAGTTGTACGTAAAAAATAGCTTCTGCATTGATAAGAAGTAATACCTACGTTGATAATAATGAATCATGTATGTTGTTGAATTGACGATTGGCTACCGTTTTCTTGCTCCACATTCATAGATTACGTTTAAGGTCGCCCGTTATCATTTATCGATAACCGGATTGTGGACCGGTTTATTTTTCTAGCTCGGCTCATGAGACACGCAATGTTCTTTCGCCGGTAAAGGGAGCGAGCCAATTCAGAGAAACTAGACGCAGGCGAGTAGTTTGAAAACGACAGGGCCGGATTTATTTATTCTCCAAAATATCTTATTTTTTGTGGCGTCGCTATCTTAAGCCAGGTAATGCAGTGCACCAGGTCCCCAGAGCTTAGAAACCCTCTATCCACACTGCTGAGAAGAGATAAGTGTACGAAAAGAAAAAATATTTTTTTACGTTTTTAAATGATGTTTTCGTTCCAATAATTTCGCCCTTGTGCGCCTAGCTACTTCTGCATTTTTACCTCAAGTTTAAATTAGGTAAATTGTAAAATATATTGCACTAGCTGTGTTGGCGACTTCGTCCGTGTAGAATATTTGTTTTGGGCATAAAATTTTGTTTTACAACCTCTTCATATACAGACATACAATGACGCGTACATTTTTAGATCATTTAAAGAGAAATTGTTATTTTTTTTACATATTTTTGGAATATCTTAAACCGTTTTCATAGCGTACGCGTTAAATTCCCAAAGTTGAATAATTCTCACGGCGCAATCATTTTATAGATATATAGCTCTGACCAACACATAATTTTTTCTTTTTTAATTCGAACCAGTAGTTCCTGAGATTAGCGCGTTCAAACAAACTCTTCAGATTTATATATTATTATAGATGTGTTATCAGCTTAAAAAAGGTGCAATCTCACATAAACGAGAATAATGAAAATAAGACAATTAAACGCGTGTTGATACAATTTCTTTTCAACTAACACACATTTTAATTAGGGCATTCGGTAAGTGCTGATGTGCAAATTGTTGTTATGCATACTGTGATATAACGTAGCGGAAGTGTACAATTAGCAATAAAGAAGTCATAGTTTATTATTTTTCAATATGTTCCGTCGTAAGTAGGTTGTCGCTTTACCAAGTGTATTTAATTCTGGTAAGTTACATTTTTTGTCAGTGAAAACCGGCGCTTCCCCTCTATTCTTGGGTGGTGAAGCTGAGTGCATTCCCCTATTTCACAACAACTCTTCGAAATGTAATTTTTAACTTAGTTATTAGGCTAATATTTAAGTTATTTGTGTAAAACGGTTTGAGTTTGAGTATTTAATAAAAATATTAATTACATAGGCATAGTGAAAATCGAAGGCTAAAAAAACATTATTTGTTGCTATCGAAATCGTTATTTACTGAAGTATGAGGGAGGGAGCAACACGAAACTGTGATTGACTTGTCTCAAACTTTCGCTATTGAGTACCCGTCTCATAATCAACTAGCGTACAATTAAGGGTAAGACTCGGTCCTTTCAGTCGGCTTTTAAAATCGAATGTGATCGTTCTACCGGTTCGAGGTTGCTATCAATAAATTCATCAAGATAAAACAAGTCGTCTCCGCGTCGTTATCGTCCTCTTGTTTCTTATAATTTGGTGTTCCACTGATTTTTATCTTCGCGTAAAACTCACATAGATAAATGTTACAGTGTTATTACGTAGATGTTTTGTTGAAATGTTATAACGTTATTTCCGTGTTGATTGTAATGAATAGATTTTCATTTCAATAAAATACACAAATGATCTTAATACGAGAAAAATGTTAACTTAACTAACATTTCAACCTAGTTATGTTTAATATGATTTATAAAATTCAGTAGTAAAAAAACACTACTATCGTTTTATGCCATATATTTTGATATTCTCAAGTGTTTAAATAAAACACTAACGGTTTCGAACGCGATATTCGTTAAACTTGTTTTAACTACGGTCCGACGTTTCGGATGGTTTGCAGCAGCCGTGGTCAGTGTCGACGACTTTGTTCGCGTAGAAAAGTTATTTTCGGTATCCAAAATTGTTGTATAACCCCCTCTTCATTTATAAATTTAAGCTTTCCCACGACGTCGGTTGCGTCACGTCGTTCTTGCGAGTTCATATCAAGATATAGACATATATACTGTCCCGGACATTTTTTTTATAATTTAAAGAAGAATCATTCTCCCATTCACATTTTTTGTGTATCTTGAACAGTTTTCCACTTTTCCCGCTGTTTCTGCGCTCCTAATAATCACAGCGCAATGTTTTAACAGCATACAGCCTTTCGACCAATTCATAACAATAGTTCCTGAGATTAGCGCGTTGAAACATACAAATAACGTTTGAAGACTTTTATTTAATTTTTACATGTTATTGCACATGAAGGCACTATATAATAAGTTTAAGTTAATAAGTTTAAGTTTAAGTAAGTTTTAAAACATACAAATAAGTTCACGTGTACTAGTCTCACGAGGACATTAGGACATTCAAGCGTCGCGTATCATAATGCAAACAGAGGGAAACAGTCCGATAATGCCGTTAAAAAAAATTAAATCTCTTCAATTGGCCCTGTGATTACGCGCTTCATCTATAGATAAACTGATTAAGCACTGTACTGATAACGAGTATTACAAAATCGCCGTAGATTACATATCGATAGACGCCTAGATGATCCCCTTTTAAATTAAAGACTTTTAACGGTGAGTCAGTTCTGCCAACTTTGCCAAATACCAACTACCACGTAACAGATGGCGCTAGCGTAGCAGTTATTGACACCCCTCCATGAAGCGGGCTGGTGGTGTGTTTAGTGGTTCTGGTCGGCTATTGTTTCCGAGGAGTTTAGTACCATCGTGCATTAGGCATTCACACCATTAGCTGATAAAATAAGAAAGGGCCCCCCGCGTGACCACGACTACTCCAAAGGTTCCGAAAATTAATAAATTGTATATTAGTTTAATGATATATTTCGCGTTTTAAACCGTTAAAAGTGTTATATTTAAAAGGAATCATTTTGTATGTATTATATCAGTTACAGTACTTATATATAAAAAGTAATGCGTAAAACATCTAGTCTGTCACGTTTAGTTTATTTTTTCTAATACATCACTAAGTCGATGTGTTCTATTACGTCCACAAATCCGTAATTTTGAAAAGCGAATGTGTGCAACGGCAATGTGTGATTTCAAATCGTTTACAAAACTGGAAATTGGAATAGATTTTCACTTCTCTTTAATCGTGTCGTAATTAAAATCTGAAAACGTTTAATATCCGGTCACCGCGGGAGCCCTTGGCGTTATTTCTATAATCATAATACGAAATTAAAGATGAATGTAAGTGTCGGCGTTAAATACATTTCATCTATAATCACTACTAATATAGAAATATGAAGAGTTTGTTTGTTTGTTTGAACGCGCTAATCTCATGAACTGCCAGTTTTTTGTGTTAGAAAATTTATCGAGGGAGGGTTG